AAGGGTGTGGGACGGGTCAGAGGATGACTTCTGGTGGAATAAAGTCTTCTGTGGATTTATCCTTTGTCCTCACAGCTATGAGTATCATGATTGAGGATTCATTGCTGTGCACAGCAAGGGAAGGTCTGCAGGATGATGGGGGAACATTGACCGATCTGAATCTGATCTCTCAGAGGCTGGATCTGACAACACAGCATTCTCGCAGGCTGATAGGTTGGATGTCAGCTCAGAGGAACTCAGGGGTTGTGCTGACCAGTCTCTGGCTGAAGCACAAAGAGCAGACGTGTGGGGAGACAGGTCCAAGGGTGGATGTTCTGGTATCCAAGCCATGGGACCAGGTCCAGATCACCCAGGAACGACCTTATGCCAGGTTCAAACATCTGGGTGTTGTAGCTAATAGAGAACCACCAGATGACCCTGGCCAGTGGCTGAAGATGATGACGGAACACAATGACAGGTTTGCCTGTACCCTTCCAGTAGTTAGTCAGTGGCCAGTGGATCCACAGGGTGATCTTCTAGCCAGTTGTGATCCAGACTCTTTAGGATCATTCCGAGATCTGTACAGGATCCCTCTCCTATCTGCAAGGGGACAGGCTGAAATGTCAGCGGTGTCAAGCTTTAGTTGGGAGAACTTTCCACCCCCCACCTAGGGAACCTTCCATGTAGACTCGTTAGCCGACCCGTTTAGGCTCAGCTATGCGTCGTCTGGAAGAGGGGAGATGTGACATAAATGTACAGATGTGAGGAGCTGAGATGTGATCTGTAGCAATATGTAATTGGAAATTTAGTTTAATTCCTTGTTATTAAAGATGTATTCAGTCATAGGTATGCAGAGACATGTGCCCACCATTAGCATCTGAAAAGACAGAGCAGCTTCCAGGCTGGAAGTGACACCTAAGTGCCAATAAGATTTGTCACCTATCTATAATCAGACTTTGCCACCTTGCTGAGGTATAAAAGAGGAACGCCAGACATTTCGGCTGCAGGAGACCAAGGGGGCTCCAATCTGTCTGGGGAGCTCTGAGGTATGCTGGATCCACTTCCAGTCCTCTGATGAATATACTGGATAATGGATCCTCACACATCCAATTATACTTGTGTAGATATTTATTGAGACATTATCTGACTCCTCCCCCTTCATGGCTGACCTCAACTCATAACCCTCCCTTAACGGAGATCATAAGATCATTGTACTTATACACAATTTAAGATCCCCCCTTTTTTCCTTAGCCCCCACTGGTCTTGCACCCCTTTACCTACACCCTCACCCCTCCCCACCCCCACACACAAGTAGACGTTACAGGCAGTGTAAGTGCTGGTCACACACTTGCCCAAATTGTCCGCTTTCTCTATGGCAGGACTGAGCTACACCCTGCCAAGCTGCAACATCCGATTTGAACCCTCCGGCATACACTTTGCAGGACAACACAATATTGATGAGGTGAATACGCTGAAGATTGTTTATTACTGGAGGTTTGTCCAAGTTGTGACTTTCTTGAAGCAATTTTCTGTGACATGTTCTCTTCTCCTGAATATGGATGTAGCACTTACATCGGACTATTATCCCCTCAATGTCTGTATTGTATCTCCCTGTTAGATGATGAAACACATTCCATGCCATGCATGCTTTCTCAGTCCTGGTAATGTCACCGAATTGTATGTCCTGATTATTATTACTGGAAAACAAAACATTAATGGGGATCTGATCCGTGACTCCAGTATGCAGGTTCCCCTTACTTGTCATGTAGATTCCCCATCCTGTTTATGAAGAGTTTGCTGTATACAATGTATCCTGTGATGGGGGTCACTTTGGGAGGGGGGCCCATGGAACACAACTCACTTTGGGGGGCCCAGAGGTGGGGAGACCCCTGTCTCAGCTCCCCATATCCCTCTTATGTGTAAGTCACCCTGTGCCTGTTAGGGGTACAGGGTGATCTGTCCTAATATTGGGGGGGGGGGGTTGTTGATTGTTTAATGCCATGTGGTTGCATCTCATTGTTCTATTGTGTGTCTGGCTTGGGAGAAAACTATTATGGGATGTATGTGTTTATGTGTATTGGCTTTGGGGGGGGGGGGGGTGTCTCCAGCAGCCCTCCCCTCCTGATGGGACTGTCTGCTGGTGTATCTCTTGTTACTAAAGGTAGATTGCCCCGCCCTGTGTCATTATGCAGGGAGGGGGGGTTGTTTCCTTGAATGTATATATCTTGTATCTGTGTTAAAATAAAGTAGTCTACCTCCTGGTTTACTTCAGGACTGGTGTTGTGTAGTCTTGTATGGTCGGCTGTGGTGTCTGTGGTCGGTGTCCGCACGGGGAAGCGGTATTATAATGGAAGTACTCAGCACAGGCTGGGTCGGTTCCGTTACATATCCACTCTAGAGATGCTGGTTGCAGCCAGCAATAGATCACTATTAGAGGTGATCTCAAGCTGCACAGATGCCTGTGTGGGTCTGGATCTGATCCCCACTGACCATTTCCAGACCCACCACGTGACGTAACGCGTAGGGTACACCAATGATGTCAAGCCACAACCCGGAAGTGCACATGCCACCATTTTGGAAAAGGGATTCCTGTACTTTGTTCACAAACATACTATATAGTGAGTTTTTGCCCTGCAGTGTCCCAGGTGGACACTTTTAAATGTGAGTTTATTTTGATTGATTTTTAATAAAGTCCGTTTTACTTGGCAATACTACACTATATGGAGCATTTTGTTCCTATGATTGTGGAGCATTTTGGAGAGTTTTAAAGTGCTGACAATGGTGAAGATCTGTGTACCAGTATACCCTCCCGGGTTAAAGGGAGAAGCGTAGTCTGACCTGGCATTACGGGTCAAACCTGGAGGTGAGCGCAATAGTGTGTTGGAGGTGGATGTACACTAAGGGGTGACACGGGAGCACCGGACACGTGTATGCAGTAGTGTGATTACACTGATCCACTTGGAGTACAGCGGATTTAAAGGGACGGTTCACCAATGTTTGGAGATTTTATTTATGAGACACTTGTTGCCGGTGTATTTGGATCACGATATATAGGAGACATACTGCACAAGCACATGTGAAGATATCTGAGATTTAAAGGGACAGTTCACTATTGAGTACATTTTATTTGGTATTTTTATTTATTTCAGCACTGTTATGTGCAAGTCTGTGATTATTTATGTGTATGCATTGAGAAGATATTGGGTGTAGCACATATTTATTGTCACAAACACCATTTCTGTTCTCACTCTTCATATATGCACATTTGTATTGTTAGCACCATTGGAGTTTATATTGCTGCGCTGCATTTTGTATTTTGATTTACGGTTTCCATGTGGGAACACATTATATGCTAGCTGCACAATTTGTTTTGTAGGAGGTTTATTGCGCTGAGGGATTTCTATACACAAAGTATAGAACACAAGGGGAATAAAGCTCTCCTAAAGTACAATGTGGATAATTACATAAACAATCCACTAATGTAAAATCATTTTTAATCAGCAGACTTTGTTGATTATATTTTGAAATTAAAAATTTGGGGAAGCACAAATGACCTTAACACTGCATCGGGAAAAAATTACAGAGAAATCCTTTATTTTTTTTCAAATTACAATTTATTACTAATGAAAACCAATGAAATAAAAAATATAAAGTAAGCATTCAAATTTCCTACTGAATAAAAGCCCTATTTGTCCCCAAAACACCGAAGTATAATACATTTGGGTAGACTACAAATGCTAAAGATAAAATACGCAGAACTGGGACATTGCCAAAAATGGGGAAAAACCTCTTTGGGGCTTGAGGGGTTTAGGGAGAAAAAGGCCCGAGGACTAAAGTGGTAATGACAGATTTCAGCATTTATGTCATCATTGATTTTTCCCGTAGTTACACTTTAGTGCCATCGCTGTAACATTTCTAGGATCAAATATTGTTTTTCACAAACTTCCAAAAAAAAAAGAGAGATCTGCCCACTCAAAGTCAATAAAGAGAACCCAACTGTAGGAATATGAGCGCACACTCAGCACTTTGTAAGATCAGATCTCTTGTAGTTCTCCTGTGTGATATGTCTATGGAGAGGAGCAATAGCTGGAAAGAGAAATAAGATAACAAGGACATCCAATCTTCACCTGATAGGATCCCTTAGACTTGTCACAAAACTGGATGGAACACACATGGGACCAGCTGGTTTAAGTGGTACTGTCAAGCTCATCCCAAAAAACTGCAGCAACTCACTGTTGGAAGGCTTATGCCAGCTTAGGAAGTTGCTTTCTCACTGAACAAAGACTTCTCCTTGTCTGGTGTCCCAGCCGCAGACCTGACTGTGAAGATGTCATCCAAGGAAGGATGTGGAATGTTAAAATAAGGCGTGAACCATCAAAGGGGAGGTGGATTGTATAATGGGAGATGTGGACAAGGTAGGATTAGCTGGAACCCTCAAGCTTCACTGATGATGTATCAATAGTCAGAAGAATATGGAAAGGACTTTCCCCCATAGGACTTCAAAACTTGGCAAGATGCCACTTGACCACTACCTAGTCTCTGGCACTGAGGCAGTGTTGTTATTGTATTAGCTCAGGATCTGGCAATGAAAAAGCACTTGGGAACACAGCTCACTTAGTAAAGGATGAGAATGCTTTATGTGTTCCATCAAACCTCCATAAACAGGAGCCGAGTAAGATGAGGATCGTGAGGAAAAACAGTTCAGTCATTGATGCTTCCCTTAAAAAATGATTAAAGGTAAAAATGTTGGTGTGTGAAGATGGAGATACGCACTAATATCAAGGAATTCATCCATTACATTCTTGTTTGCTTGTAGTTTTTTAGTTTACAAAGCAGCATTATACTTTTCACTCATTTGTGGGATGACATGAGGTGTGAAAGTGAAGAGACACATGCAGCACTTTCATTGTGGCTTAGCTGTTATCCATGTAACATTCCCCCTTCTACCAGAATTGTCTTGCTGAAGCTTGTGAATCCTCCGTGTGTTTGATTGGCCTGGAATTAATCATAAAAGCTTTATCTCATTCTGAACACTGATATGACTTCTCTCCAGTGTGGACCCTCTGGTGTCTGATAAGACCTATCTTCTGTGTAAAAGCTTTATCACATTCAGAACACTCATACGGCTTCTCTCCAGTGTGAATTCTCTGATGTTTGATGAGATCTTTTTTTACTATAAAAGCTTTGTCACATTCTGAACACTGATATGGCTTCTCCCCCTTGTGATCCTTCTGGTGTATAACAAGGCTTTCCTTATGCTTAAAAGCTTTATCACATTCTGAGCATTGAAATGGCTTCTCTCCAGAATGGACTGTCTGGTGTCTGATAAGGTTTTCCTTACGTGAAAAATCTTTGCCACACTCAGAACATTGGTATGGCTTCTCTCCAGTGTGGACCATCTTGTGTCTGATAAACTCTGGCCGCATTGTAAAAGCTTTGTCACACTCAGAGCATTGATATGGCTTCTCTCCAGCATGAATCCTCTGGTGTCTGATAAATGCCTTCTTGACAGTAAAAGCGTTGTCACATTCAGAACACTGATATGGCTTCTCTCCAGTGTGAATCATCTCATGTATGATAAGCCTTGACTTCACTGCAAAAGCTTTGTCACATTCTGAACACTGAAATGGTTTCTCTCCAGTGTGACTTTTCTGGTGTGTGAAAAGCTGTGACTTTATGTGTAAAAGCTTTATCACATTCAGAACATCGATATGGCTTCTCTCCAGTGTGACGTATCTGGTGAATTATAAGCTCTGAGTTCAATGCAAAAGTTGTGTTACATTCAGAACACTGGTATGGCTTCTCTCCTGTGTGGACTTTCTGGTGTACAGTAAGGCTTTCAATATGTCTAAAAGCTTTGCCACATTCTGAACATTGATATGGCTTCTCTCCAGTGTGAATTCTCTGGTGTCTGATAAGACTTGGCTTCAATGAGAAAGCTTTGCCACATTCAAAACATGGATATGGCTTCTCTCCAGTATGAACCTTCTGGTGTGAGAAAAGCTGTTGTTTGTTTGCAAAAGCTTTGCCGCATTCAGAACACTCATACAGCTTCTCTCCAGTGTGAATCCTCTGGTGTGATATTAGGCTTTCCCTATGTGCAAAAGCTTTATCACATTCAGAACACTGATACGGCTTCTCCCCAGGTGTGAATCTTTTGGTGTGAGACAAGATTAGCTTTCTGTGCAAAAGATTTATCACATTCAGAGCACGGATATGGCTTCTCTCCAGTGTGAATCTTCTGGTGTGAGATAAGACCTGACTTTGATGTAAAAGCTTTGCTGCATTCAGAACACTGATATGGCTTCTCTCCAGTATGAACCCACTGATGTTTGATTAGCTGTGCCTTCCGTAGAAAAGCTTTGTCACATTTGAAGCACTGAAAAGGTTTCTCTTCCGTGTGAATCATCTTGTGTATTTTAAGACCTTCCTTATGTTGAAAAGCTTTGTCACATTCTGAACACTGATATGGCTTCTCTCCAGTGTGGCCCCTCTGGTGTCTGATAAGATCTGCCTTCACTATAAATGCTTTTGTCACATTCAGAACACTGATGTGGCTTCTCTCCGGTGTGAATCTTCTTGTGTTTTATAAGGTTACTCTTTGATGTAAAAGGTTTGTCACATTCAGAACACTGATATGGCTTCTCTCGAGTGTCCGTCTCCTGCTGTGTGATATGTTTTGCCTTCATTGTAAAACCTGTCAGTTTCCAAAGAAGCAGCTTTTAAAATGACTCCTCTTATGTGTACAGGGGTTGGACTTTTCACTTCCAGAACACTGAAATGACTTCTCTCCTGTTGTCCTCTGAGGATGGATCAATGTTGAAGAGAATCCCAAACAATAAGAGCACTGATATGTCTTGTGTCCTGTGTGAATCCTCCAGTGAACTGCAATAAAGACTTTCAGTCACCTAAGACTCCCATATGGCTCATTTCCCACGTAGATCAGTTGTACTTATAAAGAGCAACTTGGCCAAAAACTTGGTTCCTCAATCCACCTGTATATAAAAAAAGATAAATACAAGTCAGAATTCTGTATAAAAGGGCTAAATAAAGTTACTTCCTATTTTAATGTTCATTTTAAAGAGTAACTGCATTTTTGTTGAGAAAATAATCTGAGTGATCAATGTACATTGCTGGGATTTTACCAAACTTTGTTGCAGATTTCAACCTGTTTCTGCCCTGAAGAATAAAGCTGTTTGTCTATGTCAATGTGTAAAGTGGATGTGAATGGGGGTGACGTCTTCATGATGATTTAGTTGATGCCCCTGCAGTGTTCTAATGAGGAAAGTCTGCATCCATTTAGAAGTGATTGGACCTTGGGATTATCACACCAAAAATAAATTTTGTACAAGAGGATGCCTAAAATTTGAGTATTTGAGTGCAGACTTCTGGGAAAATCAGTGACCCAATCACAGCAGCGCTTTATTTATAAAGCGCCAATAGTTCGCTCAGCGCTGTACATTACAAAGGGAGACAGAACATGAGACAGAACAATACCAATACAATGTGATACACGAGGGGTTCAAGGGCCCTACTCCTTTGCTCTTACAATCTAGGAGGGAGGGGATGGTGGTACAGGAGGAGATAGCTGTGGGGGATGGAGTGGTAGGAAGAGTGGAGGAGGTCGGCAAGTTAGCAGGGGGTGGGGTAGGCTTCCCTTTTCAGGGTGCGCCTAAAGGAGAGGAGAGTAGGTGATAGTCTGATGGGTTGGGGTAGGGAGTTCCAGAGGATGGGTGACACCCTGGAGAAGTCCTGGAGGCGGGCATGGGAGGAGCAGACCAGGGAACTAGAGAGACGGAGGTCTTGTGAGGAGCGGAGTGTGCGTGTTGGGTGGTACTTGGATATTAGGTCAGTGATGTAGTTCGGGACAGTATGGTGGACAGCTTTGTACGTCAGTGTTAGGATTTTGAATTTGATCCGCTGTGCAATCGGAAGCCAGTGGAGGGATTGGCAGAGGGGGGTGGTGGAAACGGAGTGGTTGGTAAGGTGGATGAGTCTGGCTGCCGTGTTCAGGATCGACTGAAGCTGGGATAGCCTGTGGCGAGGCAGGCCAGTGAGGAGGGAGTTGCAGTAGTCGAGTCGTGATATGATGAGGGAGTGGATGAGCTGTTTAGTGGTTTCTGGGGTTAGGAACATGCAGATTTTGGGCGATGTTGCGGAGGTGGAGTCTGCTAGTGATTGGACTTGGGGCTGGAAAGGATAGGTTGGAGTCCAGAATGACCCCGAGTACTCTGGCCTGTGGGGCGGGCCTGATAGTGGCATTGTTGGATGTGATGGAGAAGTCAGTGGGGGGGAAGAGTAGGAGCTCGGGTTTTGGCGAGGTTCAGTTAAGGAAGTGGAGTGACATCCAGTCAGATATGTCGTTTAGTAGGTTAGAGATAGATTTGTGTGTCGTCAGTATAGAGTTGGTAGTTGAAGCCATGAGAGTGTATGAGTTGGCCAAGGGAGGAGGTGTATATGGAGAAGAGAAAGGGGCCCGAGGATGGAGCCTTGAGGGACCCCAACAGAGAGGGGGGATGAGGGGGGGAGGGTGGTAGCGTTATAGGTAACGCTGAAAGAGTGTTGTGATAGGTAGGATGAGAGCCAGGAGAGAGCAGAATCTCTGAGGCCGAGGGAGTGTAGTTTTTTGAGGAGGAGGGGGTGGTCAACTGTGTCGAAGGCCGGAGAGGTCAAGGAGTAGGAGCACTGAATAGTGGCCATTAGCTTTGGCGGTTAGAAGGTCATTGGAGAGTTTGAGTAAGGATGTTTCAGTGGAGTGTAGGGGACGGAAGCCGGACTGTAGGGGATCGAGGAGGTTGTTGTTGAGGTGATAGCTTAAGCGAGTGTAGACTAAGCGCTCGAGGAGTTTGGATGTGAATGGGAGCAGGGAGACGGGTCTGAGGTTTTTCTGGTCATTGGGGTCCAGGGAGGGCTTTTTAAGTAGGGGGGTGATGTGCGCCTGCTTCAGAGGGGAGGGGAATGCGCCGAAGAGAGGGAGACATTAAAGATGTGGGTGTGAGGGAGCGTATGATGGAAGGGGAGGGAGGTTGTAGGAGTTGTGAGGGGATTGGGTCGAGGGGGCAGGTGGTGAGGCGGGCATCAGAGAAGACCTTGGAGACCTCCTCGATGGTAGTAAGGTCGAAGGTGTGGAGTATTGAGGGGGCTGCAGTGTGAGGAATGTTGGGTAGGGTGGAGGTAGAGGTCAGAGCAGTGGTGGGGCCAAGGGAGAGGGGGTAGCTGTGTGAGAGGGGACAGGGTTGGAGGGAGTTTGAGCAGCGGCGATGTCCTTGCGAATTGTGTCAATCTTGTTTTTGAAGTGATTGGCAATCTCAAGGGCGGTGAGTGAAGTGCTGGGTGGAGTGGAGAGAGAGTAGAGAGTTAAAGGTGGAGAAGAGTCGGCGAGGATTGGAGGAGAGGGTCTTGATGAGTGTCAGGAAGTAGGCTTGGTTGGTGGCCTGGAGGGAGAAGGTGTAGGTGTGGAAGGCGGGTGAACAGTAGTTGGGACCTGGTTTTGCACCATAGTCGCTCCAGGGCACGACTGTGTCATGTGAGAATTTTAGTGTGATCAGTCTCCCAGGGCTGGAGCGGTCGGGGTCTGATGTTTCGTGTGGTTAAAGGTGCTAGTGAGTCAAGGGTGGTTGACAGCGAGTTGTTATAGGCTGTCATAGCCAGGTCGGGCAGGACAGGGGGAGGATGCTGTCATGGAGTTGATCAGCTGCAGAGTGGAGGGGGGCAGGGTTTAAGGTTGCGGAGGTTACGGCTGGTAGTAGTATGACATTTGGAGGGGTAGGCGTTAGAGGACGAGGAGATAGAGAAGGTAATGAGGTTGTGGTCAGAGAGAGGGAAGGGGGTGTTAGTGAGGTTGTGGGGGAGCGCAGAGGTGGAGAAGACAAGGTCCAGGATATTTCCATCACTGTGGGAGGTGGATTGTATGCACTGTGCGAGTGCAAGGAGGAGGTTAAGTGGAGGAGATGGGATGTGTCTGGGTTGTCAATGTTGACAGGGATGTTGAAATCCCCCAAGGATGATGGTGGGTAATTTAGAGGAGAGAAAGAAGGGTAACCAGGAGGAAAAGTCATCAAGGAAGCAGGATACGGGTCCAGGAGGCCGGTAGATTACAGCGATCTTCAGGGGGCTTGGGGAGAATAGGCGGATGCAATGGGCGGAGAAGGATTGAGAGGGGGGGTTTGAGAGGACTCGGAAGGTGCTCTGTAGTGACAGGAGCATACCAACCCCCCCTTTACGACCGTTGGGTCTGGGTGAGTGGGTCCAGATGAGGCCTACATAGGACAATGCCATGGGGGAGGTAGAGTCAGTGGTCTGGATCCAGGTTTCTGTGATCGCTAGGAGGTTAAGAGAGCGGGAAACAAAAGAGGTCGTGGATGGCGGTGAGTCATATATCTGTTCCATGAGGCTGTGATGATCCTTTGGTTGAAGCAGAATTTGTGATAATACCCTCGCTGGGAGGTGTAAAGGCATATTTACATATTTACGGTAAGGGTATTCACTCTTACACCATAGATGTGGACACAATGTTTCACAGGCTGCTTTTGGATGCATATTTTTCACTCGATTGATTCACTGGCAC